TTACTTAGGGCCACAGAATTGTTACTCAGGGACAGACACAGAATTGTTACTGAGGGCCACAGAATTGTTACTTAGGGCCACAGAAACGTTACTCAGGGACACAGAATTGTTACTGAGGGCCACAGAACCGTTACTTAGGGCCACAGAATTGTTACTCAGGGACAGACACAGAATTGTTACTGAGGGTCACAGAATTGTTACTGAGGGCCACAGAACCGTTACTTAGGGCCACAGAATTGTTACTCAGGGACAGACACAGAATTGTTACTCAGGGACACAGAATTGTTACTGAGGGCCACAGAACCGTTACTTAGGGACCACAGAAACGTTACTCAGGGCACAGAATTGTTACTGAGGGCCACAGAACCGTTACTTAGGGCCACAGAATTGTTACTCAGGACAGACACAGAATTGTTACTGAGGGCCACAGAATTGTTACTTAGGGCCACAGAAACGTTACTCAGGGACACAGAATTGTTACTGAGGGACACAGAAACTGTTACTTAGGGCCACAGAAACGTTAGTTAGGGCCACAGAATTGTTACTCAGGGACAGACACAGAATTGTTACTGAGGGACACAGAATTGTTACTGAGGGCCACAGAACTGTTTTACTTAGGGCCACAGAATTGTTACTCAGGGACACAGAATTGTTACTGAGGGCCACAAAACCGTTACTTAGGGCCACAGAATTGTTACTCAGGGACAGACACAGAATTGTTACTCAGGGACACAGAATTGTTACTGACTCAGAACCGTTACTTAGGCCACAGAATTGTTACTGAGGGACACAGAATTGTTACTGAGGGCCACAGAACTTGTTACTCTAGGGCCACAGAATTGTTACTCAGGGACACAGAATTGTTACTCAGGGACACAGAATTGTTACTTAGGGCCACAGAACCGTTACTCAGGGACACAGAATTGTTACTGAGGGCCACAGAACCGTTACTTAGGGCCACAGAATTGTTACTCAGGGACAGACACAGAATTGTTACTGGGGCCACAGAATTGTTACTTAGGGCCACAGAATTGTTACTCAGGGACACAGAATTGTTACTGAGGCCACAGAACCGTTTACTTAGGGCCACAGAATTGTTACTCAGGGACAGACACAGAATTGTTACTGAGGGTCACAGAATTGTTACTGAGGGCCACAGAACCGTTACTTAGGGCCACAGAATTGTTACTCAGGGACAGACACAGAATTGTTACTCAGGGACACAGAATTGTTACTGAGGGCCACAGAACCGTTACTTAGGGCCACAGAAACGTTACTCAGGGACACAGAATTGTTACTGAGGGCCACAGAACCGTTACTTAGGGCCACAGAATTGTTACTCAGGGACACAGAATTGTTACTGAGGGCCACAGAACCGTTACTTAGGGCCACAGAATTGTTACTCAGGGACAGACACAGAATTGTTACTCAGGGACACAGAAATGTTACTGAGGGCCACAGAACCGTTACTTAGGGCCACAGAAACGTTACTCAGGGACACAGAATTGTTACTGAGGGCCACAGAACCGTTACTTAGGGCCACAGAATTGTTACTCAGGGACAGACACAGAATTGTTACTCAGGGACACAGAATTGTTACTGAGGGCCACAGAACCGTTACTTAGGGCCACAGAAACGTTACTCAGGGACACAGAATTGTTACTGAGGGCCACAGAACCGTTACTTAGGGCCACAGAATTGTTACTCAGGGACAGACACAGAATTCTTACTCAGGGACAGACACAGAATTGTTACTGAGGGACACAGAATTGTTACTGAGGGACACAGAATTGTTACTCAGGGACACAGAATTGTTACTCAGGGACAGACACAGAATTGTTACTGAGGGACACAGAATTGTTACTGAGGGACACAGAATTGTTACTGAGGGTTACTGACACAGAATTGTTACTCAGGGACAGACACAGAATTGTTACTCAGGGACAGACAGAATTGTTACTGAGGGCCACAGAACTGTTACTTAGGGCCACAGAAACGTTACTCAGGGACACAGAATTGTTACTCAGGGACAGACACAGAATTGTTACTCAGGGACAGACACAGAATTGTTACTGAGGGACACAGAATTGTTACTGAGGGACACAGAATTGTTACTGAGGGACACAGAATTGTTACTGAGGGCCACAGAACTGTTACTTAGGGCCACAGAAACGTTACTCAGGGACACAGAATTGTTACTCAGGGACACAGAATCGTTTAATTAAAGAGTATGTCAGACAACATGCAGAGGAGTGGCAGAGGGAGACAATGTTTTAGGAGCGAGCAGACGTGGCAGCAGAGGAAGGGGGTCGAGGCAGCACTATTCGCAGCCAGAGAAGCTAGTGCTCCCGGTGTCATCCAGTACAGTGAGGAAGAGCTAACAGAGGGCGGTCAGGAACGGGGGGAGACATCCGCCTCTTCAGCAGCCAGGCGAAGAAGTAGTGGTGAGGAGAGTGGCTCGGTAGCCGGTCTAGAGACAGGTCTGTCTCCTGACCCACACGCAGCCGAGGGGGCTAGTAGTGAGGCGGAGACCCTAATTGATGATGATGAGGCTGATTGCACTTGGCAGCCTCGTCGTCATCAGGCTATTGCTTCCGCATCATCAGGAGAAGAGGGTGGCAGCTTGGCAGCGAGCAAAACAGTCGGTGGGTTGTCTCCATCGCCACACTCTCTGCATGTGCCACTTTCAGGTCCTCACTCACACACTGCTGGTGTGTTCCATTTTTTGTCATAGGGTGCTGGCAGATTACGGGCCTCCCATAGCTGCTGCCAGGCCCTAATCTGCCATAGGCCCCTATACCGCCTCCTCATGCTGCTGCCAAGTCCAGAGTCTCTCTCATGGGTCCCCCTGTACGGCCTCCCATTGCTGCTGTCTCCATCGCCACACTCTGCCATGTGCCACTTTCAGGTCTCCTCACACACTGCTGGTGTGTGTTCAATTTTTTGACATAGGGTGCTGGCAGATTACGGGCTCCCATAGCTGCTGCCAGGCCCCTAATCTGCCATGGGCCCCTATACCGCCTCCTCATGCTGCTGCCAAGTCCAGAGTCTCTCATGGGTCCCCTGTACGGCCCCCCCATTGCTGCTGTCTCCATCGCCACACTCTGCCATGTGCCACTTTCAGGTCTCCTCACACTGCTGGTGTGTTCCATTTTTTGTCATAGGGTGCCGGCAGATTACGGGCCTCCCATAGCTGCTGCCAGGCCCCTAATCTGCCATGGGCCCCCTCCTCATCATGCTGCTGCCAAGTCCAGAGTCTCTCATGGGTCCCTGTACGTCCTCCCATTGTACGGCCTCCCATTGCTGCTGCCAGGCCCCTAATCTGCCATGGGCCCCTATACCGCCTCCTCATGCTGCTGCTGCCAGGTCCAGGCGAACGTAGTCACACAGGGGAGGAACTTCTCAGTGTAATGAACAGAGAAATCGACAGATGGCTGTCTCCGCGCAAACTGAAAATCGGAACCATGTTGACCGACAACGGAAAGAACATGGTGTCTGCTCTGCGTCAAGTAAGGTTGTGCCATGCGCCATGCATGGCTCACGTGTTCAATCTGGTTGTCAAGCGGTTCCTAAAATCCACCATCCCACTGCAAGTCATCCTTAAAATGTCACGTAAACTTTGCATGCATTTCAGCCATTCCTACACCGCAAAGCACACCCTCCTTGAGCTGCAGCGGCAGAACGGAATTCCACAGCATCGCCTGATCTGCGACGTTGCAACAAGGTGGAATTCAACCCTACACATGGTAGACCGCCTTTACGAACAGCGAAAGGCCATCACCGATTTCCTGATGTTACAAGCGGATAAAGGTACTCCCCTGTGTAACTTCGATGTCAGCCATTGGCAGCTCATGCGTGACACCTGCCGCTTGCTCAGGCCCTTTGAGGAGGCCACGCTATTTGTGAGTCGGCAGGACTATGGGATGAACGACGTCATTCCTCTGTTGCACGTCCTGGAACAAATGCTGTTAACAATGGCTGGTCAGGGTGCGGTAGACGTGGCGCACAGATCTCAACGCCACATGACCCCTGTGGGGGCAGGACAGGAAGAAGAGGAGGAGGTAGAGGAGGACATTTGTGCTCAGGAATTATTGAGTGAAATGGGTGGTTTTTCCACTCAGCGGACAGGAGTGGAGGAGCAGGAGCATCTGGTAGAGGAGGAGGAGGAGGAGACAGAGGACCCAGATGCACCGTGGCAGTATGCTGTGGAGATGGAGGCAGGGAGTCCCTCGCATTCCTTGACACAAATGGCCCAGCCTTAGCATGCTCGGTTGCTTGCGTAGCGACAGCCGAATAATAACCATCAGACAGAGGGATGACTTTTGGCTGTCCACCTTGTTGGACCCTCGCTACCGTTCAAAAATGGTGGCCTTTTTCACACCTGCTGAGAGGGAGGCCAAAATAACGTACTATAAAAACCACCTATGTAGTCAGTTGGTCTCTGCCTTTGTGCGCCAACGTCCATCCTCAGACACTGTGGGCCCTGTGCGCTCGCGTTCTGCTGCCATGGCAGCAAAGGAGGGGTGGGGTGGTAGGAGCAGTGGCAGCTCCACCAGCAGCGGCTGCCTCAGTCTGCAGTCGATGATGAGTAGCTTTCTTCACCAGCGCAGTGAGGAAACTACTAACCAGCCGCAGCAGCAGCAGCAGCATCAGGTGGACCTGGAGCAGGACCTCAAACAACAGGCTTGGGCCTACTTGGACAGCACCCTGCCAACCGAGGTAGACAATCCCCTTGACTACTGGGCAACGAAACTTGACCTTTGGCCCCAACTAGCTGAATTTGCCCTTGAAAGGCCGTCATGCCCGGCCAGTAGCGTGGCATCGGAGCGCGTGTTTAGTGCGGCAGGAGGTATTGTAACTCCACGGAGGACACGACTGTCCACCCAAAGTGTGGAGAGACTCACGTTTGTGAAAATGAATCAGGCGTGGATTAGTCTGGATTTCAAACCACAGTTCCTGACACAACTGACTAAATCCGCCATGAATCATGCCCCAAACATGTGCCACTTTCAGGTCTCCTCACACACTGCTGGTGTGTTCCATTTTTTGTCATAGGGTGCTGGCAGATTACGGGCCTCCCATTGCTGCTGCCAGGCCCGTATCTGCCATGGGCCCCTGTACCGCCTCTTCATGCTGCTGCCAGGTCCAGAGTGTGTCATGGGTCCCTGTACGGCCTCCCATTGCTGCTGCCAGGAGGCAGCAGGGTCGCAGCAGTGTCAGTGGAGGCAAACGGCCACGGAGTAGAGCACCAGCTCCACTGCAGCCTACCACCACGGCCAGTAGTGATGCCGGTGTGCACGGAGGAAGTAGCAGTCAGCCAGTGAGGAGTAGCGGGGGCAAAGTTTCCTACTCGGGGGTGTGGCAATTTTTCGTCAAGCCGCCCGAGGAAGTAAACGTAGCCGTATGTCGACTATGTGGCCAGAAAGTCAAGCGTGGCCAGGGGGCCCATGTTGGGACTACAGCGTTGCGTCAGCATATGCAGCGTCACCATTCGGTGGCCTGGGAAAACCGTGATAAAGATACGGCGGTTCTGCCTGCCCCAGCCCAGGGTTCCATTTTGTCATAGGGTGCTGGCAGATTACGGGCATCCCATTGCTGCTGCCAGGCCTTAATCTGCCATGGGCCCCTATACTGCCTCCTCATGCTGCTGCCAGGTCCAGAGTCTCTCATGGGTCCCTGTACGGCCTCCCATTGCTGCTGTCTCCATCGCCACACTCTGCCATGTGCCACTTTCAGGTCTCCTCACACACTGCTGGTGTGTTCCATTTTTTGTCATAGGGTGCTGGCAGATTACGGGCCTCCCATTGCTGCTGCCAGGCCTGTAATCTGCCATGGGCCCCCGTACTGCCTGGTCACGCTGCTGCTGGGTCCACAGTGTGACATGGGTCCCTGTACCGCCTCCCATTGCTCCCACTCTGCCATGTGCCACTTTCAGGTCTCCTCACACTCCTGCTGGTTTCCATTTTGTCATAGGTTGCTGGCAGATTACAGGCCTCCCATAGGTGCTGCCAGGCCCCAAATCTGCCATGGGCCCCCGTACCGCCTCGTCACGCTGCTGCTGGGTCCACAGTGTGACATGGGTCCCTGTACCGCCTCCCATTGCTCCCACTCTGCCATGTGCCACTTTGAGGTCTCCTCACACTCCTGCTGGTTTCCATTTTGTCATAGGTTGCTGTATGGCCTCCCATTGCTGCTGCCTCCACCGCCACACTGTGGCTCCAAACACTGGTTTTGGCCCCGACTGGCCAAATGAGTGAAGTGTGCGGTGATTCTAAGATCGACGGCACTCATCTGCATGTCATACTGACTGACAGTATTATTTCTCTTCCCCAGCAGACTCCAAGGGCATTTAAATTAAAGGTACAGTGTTCTGCACTAATATTAAGTCTCTCTGAAGCCTAGAAACACCCTTTTTTAAGTTAAATTCACAGCGAATATATTCGACTCGAATCGAATATTGTCCACGAATTCGCCGAATCAGTCGAATCGAATTTTTGAATACTTCGCTCATCTCTAATTTTGACCAATAGGCCATACACCAACTTCCATCACTTTGCACAGAAGACCATCCCTTTACTCCAACAACATGTGGAAAGCTATGAGGCAGAGGAGAAATATAAGGGGTTCTGGTGGTGAGAAAGAAAAAATTGGTGGAAAGCTCCAAGGGGGGCATTTCATCCCTCTCTGATACAAGGGGAATCTACTGGCACCATTCACAAGTTGGCCAATATGCTCCACTCTAAGGAGGCTTTGCAAAGAAACTATTTGCCACACTTCTGATAGTGACTGGATCCCCCATTCTGTAGACATCGCTGCAGGTGAAAAACCTATGGGCATAGGCTTCCTGCCCTTTCACAACACAGTGGGAAGAGCAAGCAGCAGCAAATGGATCAGGGAAATTGTACTGGAAGTTAGGAGGAGTGTTCTGGTGCTAGCAGTAAGAATTAGGAAATTTTTTAGGGAGGCTTCAAGGGAGACCATTCACCCCTACCTGATGCAAGGGGAAACATCTGGGAGATCTACTGCCACTATCCAAGAATGGGCCCTAAATGACCAATCTGAGGCTGCTATCCTAGAAGGGGCCCTAAATGACCCATCTGAGGCTGCAATGCAAAGCTGGATCCCTCACACTACAGGCATAGCTGCAGAGGAAAAACCAAAAGGCATTGGCTGCCTGCCCTTCTACAACGTGCCTTTGGTTTGGCACTTGTTGCTGACACAGCATGTGGGCAGAGGCAGATAAAATAGAGAAGCGCAGGAACCCAGGGCTGGAAGTGTGAGGTGAGAGCTGGAGAGCAGGTGTGAAGGAGAAGACCATACAGGATGCCGGAGGACCAGGCCAGGCTAGGCCACAGAGAGAAGGGAAAAGGAGAAACTGCTGACCACTGGCACCACTGATGAATCCGGTGAGCTGTGCCGTGGGTTGGTAGTCCAGAATGTGACTGTCCAGAGTGATCTCTAAAGGAGGAACCACAGGAATACTGGGGGCTCCCATCTATAGAGAGACTATCGGCTACCTGACCAGTGCCATAGATTGGGTGTTCGAACGTTCCATTCTCAAGCCATTCAAGCTGCCAGTAACATTATTCAAGTCTGCTGTTTTCTGCCTGGTTTAACTGACACCATTCACAACATACCCTAGTTAAGGCCTATTTCACCCAGCCTTCTGGTTGCTACTTTTTTAGCATAACCCAATAACAGGAGCCCACTGCCATGTTTTGCCCTCCGCAAGCTAAGTCATATCATTGTTTCCACTACAGTTGGCACTCTCAGTCATCAAAGAGCCCTTGTATTACTGTAATTTGCCACTGAGGCTGCAAGAGAGATTATTCCCTATAAAAAGGGTTTCTGCACATTCTTTAATCCCCTCCTAAAGTTATATCTTACCCTGCGTGTGTCTAAAGGGGAACCGTCCAGACTAACTACCACTTAAAAAGGCAGTTTCTCTCTTTTGTACTCACACCTCATTAAGGAACTTCTACATTTGCTTCCAGAAGGAGTTGAATACGTAAAGTGCATCAACTCGGGCCCCATCGAGCACGCAAAAGATCTTATACTGCAGTTTAAAGGGAAAGTGACCTACTACATCCAAGAGTTTTTGTTCCTCAGCCTTAGAATTGAATCATAAGCCCTAAGTGAGCTAGCCACTCTGCTTGGTAGCTTTTTTTCTCATGCTCACTGGGAAAAGACATCCCAGTACTGGGGTTACTGTCTAAATTCTGAAGTGCAGGATGTCCATAATTGATTGAGATTTAGCTGTGTTTTGACTTTGCTTGAAATTAGTCTAAGTGATAGCTATTTTTTCATACACAAACGTTTCTGTGGTTTTACTGTGCTTACAATTAATCTCAATGCAACCAAGATATCAGTTCACTCTATACTGTCTGTGAGTCTAATTTGTGATTGCAGCCAGATGGTCCAAAATAATGTACTATCGATGATATCTGTATGTTGCAGAGAGTGTGACTATCAAACCAAATGGAACTCCAAATCTTAGGAAATTAATGTGGATGCCAAAACAAAAGGTCTCCTATTCAGCTTAACATATTTTGGTGACCAAACAGATTAAAGACCATGAATATTTTCTAACTGACAAAGAAGACGTTGCTCCCTTGGATAAGAAGAATGAAGTTTGATGTAAATATACCTGCTGACTTTGCTTAAAGTGATTCTAAAGGCAAAAAAGTTTTTAACCCTAATACATTCTATGCATTAAGGTAAAAAAAAACCTTCATGTGTCTGTGCCTCTTCCCCCCACCCCTAAACACTTACTTGAGCCCAATATCATTGAACAACTCAATGCTTCTGGCAGAATCGACTTTTTTGTTGGGGAAAAGGTAAGAACAAGAAAGTAAGGCCTAAATGTTTTCCCCATTTACCTATATGTAATGGCATACAAAAAGAATTTAAAACAGAAGTGCGGGTTTTGAGAAAAATAACCTAGGTGGATGCAGCATCGGCCCAATGCTGCATTTGTCCCCCACCACCTCAAGGACTGAGAACTGAGCAATCAAAGACCATTGGTCATTTAGTTCTCGCTCTTCAGTTAGCAGAGAGCCAGCGACTGTCAGTCACTGGCTTCCTGCTCTGCCCCTCCAGCACTCACTGAAGTGCTGAGCTGTGGAGGGGGTGGGAGCAGCTGGCTCAGGTTCTCAGTGGTGTGCTAAAAGGCTGAGCCAGCTACCCCTCAGGCACCTGGGCAGATTCTGACATTAATATTGGGATACCTCCAGAGTCTAGACTGGGTAAATGACGTCAGCCGACAGCAGGATTTAGGAGAGCAGAACTAAGTGCACTCCTGTGACCTAGAGGGGAAGTAGAGCTAAGTTAGATACTGCAGATAATTATTAATGATATTAAATGCCATCAACTCGAGTCCAAGTCCTTCTGACTTGATGAATAAGAGCTCTAAAAAGAAGTTGACTTTGTGCTAGTTTGGTGAGATGCTCCAGTGTTACCCCCACAGCTGTAGTCAATGTATCTAACCACCTCTTCCTCTTCGCCTTGTTCCTTCGATCTTCCCAAATATTCTTTCCTTTTCCAGTGATCTCTCTCTTCTGATAGTGTGACCAAAATAGGACAGTCGCAACTTCATCACTTGGGCTTCTAGTGACATAGCCGGTTTGATCTGTTCCAAAATTGATCTATTAGTTCTATGGGCTGTCCACAGCACACATAAAATCCTTTTCCAGCACCAAAGCAAATGGTGCAATCTTCTTTCTATCCTCTTTCAGGTGTGTCCAGCTTTCACAGAGGAGGAATCAGTAGTGTAAAACTGTCTGGCAACCCTGGAATATTGTTTTTACAAAAAAAAAAAAAGGCCTTAACAAAAAAAAAAGGAATTGCAGTTGGAAAAAATAGGATATACAGGGGTTAGATCAGGGGTGTCAACCTAGCAACTCTCCAGCTTTTTCCAATCTACAAGTCCCATGAGGCATTGCAAAGCTGACAGTTATAAGCATGACTCCCAAAAGAGACATGATGGGACTTTTAGTTTCACAACAGCTGGAGGGCCGCCAGTTTGATACCCCTGGGTTAGACAAAAAATGGAAACACTTCAAAGGACTGAGATTGAGACACTTGAGTTACAGTCACTTTTGAAGCAGCTGTTTTCTTATTCCAGGTTGCAATCCTGCGCAATGTCCATTTGGCTATTTCTGTCATTTGACTATGTTGACCACGCTTATGCTTATCAGTCGATGGTTTCCCTGAAACTATATGTCTTCCTAACCTTTGATATTGTATCTCGCAACAAGGCAAATAAATTGGCAACTTCAGTTACAGAGGCACCAGCTAAGTGATGCCTCTGGAACTTTCTTTTCCATGTTTTCTGCGCATAGGGCAGCCCACATGAAGCGTGGGAAAGCACGCAGTAGTGTGAACCAAGCCTAAAGGAAATTAGTAAAGGGTTTACATCTACTTTAAGTGAGGGTCTGACACATAAGAAAGACCCCATGATTGGCTATTTTAAACCACATGTATTGTTGGTAGTTGGTTGCTATGATGTTGAACGGTGAACCTTGAACCTTCTTACATGTAAAGCTGGCCATACATTGTGCTACATTTGATATAAATGTGATCAGTTGTAGTATCATTTGCGAGCTCTGATGAATTGTACTGAAAGAGATATAGAAGCTGCCATTTCTAAACTCCTGAAATTGCCTGGTTGTCTTACATTTGAAACGGAACTCCAGGCAAACAGCTAAATACACTGATAAAATACAGTACATAAAAGGGAGCTGCTTTACCTGCTAAAAGATTTTTCTCTCTGTCTACCCAGTCCTGAGATTTACACAGCAATTCAGAGTCAGGGCAAGAGACCTGATACATCTCTGCTGCAGTTCAGTAACATTGACAGGTCTTGTTCCTCCTCCAGCCTATGACTGGACAGTAGAATGAGAAACAGCAAGCTAATCAGATTATCTCTTTGTCACTCTGTTCTCTCTTCCAATCAATGCAATTGTCCTGCAGTACAATTCATTAGCTTCTTGTGCTGCTTCTACCTCCCTCCGTCTGAGCTTTGCAGGGATTTCATTCACTGCTTAAAAAAACTTTTAAGGACATAGTAAACACAATAGCTGCATTATTTGTGTGTATTCAAACCCTAAATCTGTTATTCAGCATGCGTTATATCATAGCTTCTACTGTAATGCGCATTCTCCCTGCAGATCTGATAGAAGCATAAATTCTTTCTCTATTTCTCCATGCTTGTAAATGATATTTAATTACCCAGGGAAAGAGTTTTTTGCTATGGTAAATATTTGCTAACTCCTCCTTTCCATCTGAACCCCACAGATGTTTAAGTTGGTTGAAACATTTTATTAGTTTAAGTTTACTAGACAGTTTTATAGTCTCGGCAGTTTCATGGTTTTCACGTAATTATT